GATATTGGCTTAAGATTCGGCTATGCAAATAGAGAGACACCTTGACATACACTAAACCCCCAACTGTAAGTACTTCAAGAAGTACTTAACAAAGGTAGGACTGTGCCAGGGGATGTCTGCAGAGCCAAGGGCAGGGATTTCAGATGGTTCCACTTGTAAGGGCAACACGAACTACACTGGCTCACTTCCTGCTACACTCTGCTCCCCAAGGTGCTCATCTGCTAATGACTGCAAACAAACCTCTGCACATTAGCCTGTGCCTACACTTTCAGGACAAATGCGTCCCAAGTGTCTGATCAACCTCACAGTCAAGAGGCATGCTCCTGGAAGTCCCTTACAGGACAGTTTGAGTGGCTTCATCCTAGCCAAGTCACAAGTCCAGCAAATAAATAATGTGCTGTAAGAACTTTTAAAAAAGTTTTTTTGTTATGTTTGTTTATTTTATTTTATTTTTTTTGAGACAGAGTCTCTGTATGCAGCCCTGGTTGTCTGGAACTTGCCATGTAGAGAAGGCTATTCTGAAACTCACAGAGATCTGCTTGCCTCTACTTCCAGAACGCTGGGATTAAAGGTGAACACCACCACATCTGGCAAGACCGACTTTTCACAATTCTTATTTCCGTGCGTGTGGATGTCTGTGTCACAAGTGTCACAGGACGGCACTTGTGAGCAGGAGCCTATGGCGGCCAGAAGGCGGCACTGAACTGGATTTACACATGACTGTGAGCTCCCATGTGGGTGCAGGGAATTGAACCCACCACTTAACAGTCGCTGCACCTAACTACCGAGCTGCCTTTCCAGACCCCTGTAAGAATGTTTTACTGTATGTTTTAGGTATTTACAAGACAAAGTCTAGCTGGGTAGCTCTAGATGGCCTGGAATTCACTATGCTGACCAGGCTGGACTTGAATTTGCAAAGATCTTCTATGTGCTAAGTAAGATTACCGGCATGAGCCATCATATCTGGCTTTAATTTAAATTTAAAAAAGAAAAATGAGTTATGTAATCCTTATCCCTAGAACTTAAATGGACTGGATACAGTTATAAGGATTTAAGCATCAGGTGAGTGGGACAGATGATGTTTGAGGTCTCTTCTAATTACAACTATTATTATTATTATTATTATTAATTTTTTGAGATAGGGTCTCATGTGACCCAGGCTAGTTCCAAACTTCTCCACAGCCAAGAATGGCCTTGAACTCCCTGTACCTAACGCCTTCCTCTCCTGGGTCGTGCAATCAACCAGCTGGCAGACTACAGCTCTATGAATATCATCCAGTCACACTTGACGGTCTTTACACATGGCGACTTGAGAACTACAGACAGCTTGAGAGGCAGAAGAGTTCTATGTATTGCGGTTTCTAATTGGTCATTCGGTCTGGGGATCTGAGAGAGGTAAGAACTGGTGGCCGCTGCTCTGCTTCTCTGATCTTTCAGCACTAACCCCTATATCTGACTCAGGGTTTTTTTTTTTTTTAAACCAACTAGAATTCGCGCAACAGTTATAAGTTAAGCAAACAGAGTATGTGCTTAGAGATGTCAAACGGTTGCTTTATCTACTTAACATGTTTTCAGTATAGGCCCACAAAGCAGGGAGGCGCCTGTCAAACGCCTGTTCACAAAAGAAATCACAAGAGAAAATGCTAATACCTTCTCCCATACTCCTCCATGAGACCAATAGTTTAGTAAGTTGATTTTCACTTAAGAGTGTACGACTTTAGGGCTGGTTAAGATCACTGGCTGCTCTTCCAGAGGACTTAGGTTCAATTCCCAGCAACCACATGGTGGCTCACAATCATTTGTAGCTCTAGTTCCATGGGATCTGATGCACTCTTCTGCCATCTGAAGGCACCAGACACGAATGTGGCAGCCAAACATCCATACACATAAAATAAAAAATGCCTATGATTTCTTACATTAGATACATCCTTGTTAATACAGTATGGGGTGGGAGGGGGTCGCCTGGAAAGGTGGGAGGTCATTATCTCCGGGACTGTGTCTCAGTGTATGGCCATTTAATATGGCATGATCCAGAACACAGAAACTTAATCTCTCATTTAGCTTTCTCAATTAGTGTCCTGGCATCACACTGGGAGAAAATGGCAGGAACACTGCAGGTAGGAAGTGAGGGATGGCACAGGTCATTGAGGATCTCCCCTAATCTCTTAGCTTTTCTCCCCCAGTCCAGTAAGAAAATCTCTGCCTATTAACATTACAGCGACCTGTAAGTGATAGCTTAACTCGTCAGCTCATGAGAGGGTCCTCAAGAAACATTTAGATGTGAGATACAAACTCTAATTTTGACTTCAGTATCTACTAAAAATGAGAGTGGAGGTTTTTGGTGCTCTTCCCTTAGTTCAGCAGTTCGCCTCCTTTCTTGGTAGCCAGCTCTATTTCTACTCTCTACCTAACCCAGAAGACATGAATTCCCTACATCTCTCCTCCCGGGGGCTGCCAGGCTTTTCACCTAAGCTATATTATGTTTTTCTCTGAACTCTAATAAAAATGTCCTGGAACTTTCTATGGGAGAACAAATTGAAAGAGGAAATAACCTCATGAAGTCTATCATAATATATAAAAATGGAAGAAATTATTTTTTCATGTACATTTGGAGTTCTCAGCTCAGGGTTGCAGTAGGTCTACAAAAGGTGTACAATTCGCCATCAGTTCTGGGGAGGCTGAGGCCAGCCAGCCTGGACTAGCTACTGAGACAGGAAGAGGTCACATAAATACAACCAGAGAATTCTGTGTCCATGACACTTTTTTCCTTTTTTGAGACAGTCTCACTAAGTTTCTAGGCTGGCCCTGAGTGTCAATCTTCCTGTCTCACATGGAGGCCTAGGTGGGAGTCCAGGCCTACACCACCAGGCATAAAACACTGCAAACCCATAGAGAACCATTTTCTGCGTTCCGAAGCTTTTCCCAGCTTCCTTCTTCAGAGAGGCATATGAACGAATCAAGACTCATTCTTTTTCTTGTCCAGGGTACAGTACCAGTCCAGAGACTCCAGAATCCCCTTCAAGTTTCCACCTCAGACTGTAATTGAGGAATGTGGAGAACTGTCTAACTACCAAAACCCTTCACCACAGATAACAGACAGCTTGATCTATGCTTGTTTGAGACAGGGTCTCTATGAAGTCCTGCTTGTCCTTGAACCGGCTGCGTAGATCTGTCAGCCCCTTCCTCTCAAGTGCTGGGATTAAAAGCGTCTCCCACCATGCCCGGTGAGGCAGCTTGATCTTAATTTAAAAAACTTTTATGTGGATGGGTTTTTATATGTATGATGTTCTGCCTACATGTACGTCTGCACATCATCTGGGTGCCCTGTGTCCTTGGCGATCAGAAAAGGCCATCAGATTCCCTGGAACTAGAGTTACAGGCGGTTGTCAGCCACCACACAGATGCTGGGAACTATGGTCCTCAGGGAGCATAGCATGGGATTTAACCCGAGCCAGCTGTCCAGCTGTGGGCAGCTTGATTTTCTATGGGGAACACTTTCAACTATGAGCACCTCATCCCCTCATCCGTGCTGGAACAGAAGCAGGAATGAAGGGAAATTAGTCAGAAAGGCGGTAATAATTTTAGAACTCTTAAGAGACCAGCAACAGGATGCAAAGCACACATTACGAAAGCTGGCTTGTAACAAACATTAATTACTTCTATTACTTCTGTAAGCTCAGCACCGAATCTTGAAAGGGCAGCAAAGGGTTGGTCACTGGCAATCACATGATTAACACTGTTGAGTGCTTGTATCGTCTGGATGTGTAGAGCAGCTAACAGCCACAGGTGGTGTGCAGTTAGGATGAAGGGACGCTGTGAGGGTGAAACGCCCACCAGATCTGTGAAGCCGAGGCTATCTTGTTTAAACATTTCCTTTTAATTGAAATAATATCTGGATATACTAGTTTAAGTGAAACATAAAGTTGATTTCATGTGTTCTTTTCACTGTCCAATGTGGCTCCCAGGAAATCTAACAGCACCTAAGTGCCTAGAACATTTGTCCTGAACAGGCAATGCAAAACACAGCTACTGTGGACTAGCAACACTTAGGAGCTTGTTAAAAACGCAGATACTCAGTATAAAGTAATTAAAAACAAAACAAATGCGAGCCATCAGGCCTACATCCAGAATCAGTATCTGCACCTCCTCACGACCCTATGATAATCTTTCAAACGCGTCAAGTATTCCACTGGACAGCTCAGTGAAGCAGGATTCCTGACCCAAAGGCACATCACTGCGAACACCCACCCTTGATTTAGGAAACTGCTTACCTACCGGAAAGGCAAAGAGAAGGGTGAGAAAGAACGGAGAAAGCATCAGAAACAGTTAGAGGCAGAAGCAGCTGCGGGCGGGGGTGGGGGGATTCAGCCCCGGAGAAAGGCAATTCTAGACCTTTGCCTACATAAACGCGGAGGACGAAGCAAAGATCAGTCTACAGCCAGCGTCAGGAACTGTCCGTCAACTCTAGTGTTACCCCCGCCCCCTCCACCCCAGCGGCCTCAGCCAAGCTAGGCCTGGGCCGCGGCTGCTCTGAGGCTGGCCTGGGATGCGAAGCACCAACCCACCCCCCACCCCAGGGCTAGACAGTTCCTTCAGGCCTTTCTCCATCTTTCGCCCAAAAGTCCCTTTTCCCGAGACACACACCGCTCTTTCCTAGCTCACCTGCCTCCGAGCAACCTCAACCGCCAGCGCCTTCGCCACCACCACCACCTTCCCAGTCCTTCTGCAGAGAGCCCGCCTTCTCAGGCCCAAACAGTACTGTCATTGGTCAGACTGCCCGTCACACCGCGGGACGAAAGACCCGGGGAAGGCTGTGACGAACGCCATAGCAACCGAACCCGGAACTACAACTCCCGGCATGCTCCTCTCCTTAGAGAGGCGAGGCACCACCCCAGGGACTACCAATAAATGGGAGAAGTTGGGTGTTGCCGAGAAGGGTTCCGTTTGATGCAAATTACAGTAAAAGGCCACACCCTTCCTCATTCCAACCGTACCCCTACCATCTTTCTTCAGTCTTTGTCTCGCTTCGCCTCTTGTCTCCACGTTCTTTCCGCAAAACCTTCAATTTACTTGAATGTATCCTAGCTACTGTCGCGCACAGAAAAGAGCAAAGCACCAAATCGTGAAACAAAAATCTCCACACGCACAGACCAGAAACCTCTAGCTACACCTTCTTGGGACGAGACCGGGGGGGGGGGGGGGGGGGGGGGGGGGAGGAGAGGAAAAAGGCTCTCTGATTGGTTTATCTGGCTGCCACTCTGTACTCCTCTCTTTCCTTTGGCTCCTCCTAGTTTGGCCCACCCAGAGGGCGTGGTCATGTGTAGGGCGGGATGAGAGGCGTGGCCTCAGACGGCCGATTGGCAGGTGATTATCCCCGCCCATCGGTGGGCGGGGCGGAGGGCTGGCAAGTGGGCGGGGTGGGGTGGGGGAGGCGGCGGAGGGAGATGAGGAGATAGGCGGGAGCGAGGGAGCAAAGGAGCGAAGGAGGGCGAGAGGACTGGAGCGGCGCGGGGAGGGCGCGCAGCTTGGTTGCTCCGTAGTACGGCGGCTCGCAAGGGAGCATCCCGAGCGGGCTCCGGGACGACCGGGAGCAGGCGGGCGGGCGGGGATGGTGTGCGCGGCTGCGGACCCTGCGTTCCTCCGCGCGGCGTGCGGGCTGCACTGATTTGTGCGAGGGGCGGCCGCGCGCACCCGCCCGGAGATGAGGTGAGGAGCTGACGCGGGCGGCCTGGCGCGCGGGCGGGGGTCGGCGATGGCCGCCCGGGGTCGGGTCCTGCGGCCGGGCGCGCGTCCCCGCGGCCGCCGTCGCCGCGCTGCCTCGTCTTTCTCATCCTCCCGGGGGCGGCGGGGCGGGCGGGCCGCGGCGGCGGCGGCGGCGGGATGGGCTCGGGCTGAATGGGCGTCCGCAGCGGCGGCCGGTGCTCCCGAGGGGGATCGCGGCGGGCGGTCCTTCCACAGCTGACCCCTCTGCCCTCGGCCGCCGGAGGGTGGCGGGCCGGCCCGGCCTCCTGGGGATCCCGAGCTCGGGGGAGCGGCATCTCGCCGCCCGCCGGTCCCCCCGGCCTCGAGTCCCCGGCTCATCCTTTTTTCTCTGGCGCCTGCTTGGAATACCCTGTCAGTGAAGGGCGGTCAATGCCGTTCGGCGGCCCGAAGTGATGCGGCCGGGGCTGCCTCTGATGGTATTTAACAGAAAGCGGCTCCCCTTGCAACAGGAGCGCGTCCCCGGGGCTGGCCGCTTCGCCCTCCCTTGCGCACGCACTGACTCGGGTTTCTGCTGTGGACCCAGGGCACAATTGCGGTCCCTTCTTGGGGGGACCAGGAAATGCAATCCGGATACCCAGAAAAAGAAAAGCAAGGAGGAGCTGGCTGGACCGCCCTTCACTTCTGTTTGTCTTTGGTTTGGAAGACAACTTCGCCGATCCCCTTGCCTATGAGTAGTCTATTGTTGTGATTCAGACTAGACGCTTCGCTTTAGATAGTGGCTTCTTGCTGCAGCTGGAGGGTGTAGAGGTGTTTGGGGAACATCTTGAATGTTAGTTTCCAACTTTGCCCTCGTCACCGATATTCCGAAAACAGAACCAGCCTGGAAATGTAAATGCACGCAGACTCTGGCCAGATGAGGTTCTTTTGTGCTTATCTTTGGTATCTTTCTCTTGGTACCTAGGTGGTCCAAAACACAGAATAAAAAAAGAGTCTTATTAATAGCCAAGATAATGAAGGCATCGGAACAGATACCTCTGGAAAATATCAATTCTGTTTTTGGGGAGGCCGGTTTACTAATCCCGCTGAACTGATGAAGAGGAAGGCTAGCTCATGGATTATGTGGTGGACAGGATGTGAGGCCAGGAGCCAGCAGGCCAGCTGCTTCACAGGGCGCTTCTCTAACCGCGGCTAACAGGAGGAATGGATTTGTTGGGATACAACGTTAGCATGAACCATGCAGACATTTCAACAATCATTGTAATTATTGTTTCTGTTATGTACATTTTTTTTGCTGTTTGCGTGAAGCGTTTTGTGTGTGTGTGTGTGTGTGTGTGTAGTTTATAACTTTCTAGAAGGAAGATCTTTTGTAGGAGCTATGTAAAGAACACAGGGAACTATAAAGGATTTAAATGAAGAAGTGAGGACACTGATTTGGTGACAGGGTTAAAGACGTTTCGAACACCTTTAAGCCACAGTAAGGAGCCTTTCTGAGAGGACATGTTAAAAAAATGGTATTTACTAAAAAAGGTGTCTGTTGAAATTGCTAGGACCGTGGAACCGCCACAAAACTGTTATTATTCTGCCTGAGTAAGAGAGGAAATGAACACATTTTAATGTACTTTGGAACTCTGTAGCTTGCTCAGATCCGAGCATTGTGAAACAGGGCAGAAATGAGTGCTGAAATTAGTTCCCTGAAATGTTTGTCCCTCAGCATGTTTTTTTTTTTTGTTTTTGTTTTCTTTTGCTGTTGATTAGTGATTTCCTTTTTCTCTGGCATTTCTTATCTTTTCCCCAAATACCTAGATTGAGACACGTTCTTTAGATACTTAGAAGAGATTAAAAGAGAGGCCATGGTAAATTCCTCAGCTCTGGCCTCTCTTTTGGTGACTGAGCCAGGGGCGGGAGTGTGCCAAGCATGTGCTCTCTCACCTAGCTATACCCCAGCCTCATACTCATCTCTGTGTGGTGCTGCATTTGAACCTTGGGCCTCAGGCTGCGAGGCAAGTGCCGTATCCATGCGGCTGAGCTATAACCCTGCTCTCTCATCTCTTTAGTTTGTTAAATTTGTGACTTCTACACAGTTAATTACATGAAGGTTGGGTTTGTGCAGTTCTCTTTTTAGCGACTCCTCCCTGAATGGCTCCACTTACTGGCTCCTCTTGAAGTCTGGACCTCAGATGGCTTTATATAAACGTCCCAGGTTTCTGTCTCTCCTCTTCAGAGTCAGACAATGGGAAGTAGTCAGTGTTTTCTATATATATGTTTTCTAGGAATTTCTCCAGGGCAGGAAAATTTGGAGAACCTTGGCAGCATGCTTCTTTCTTATTGAGTGTTGCCTAAGACTCTCTCCTGAATCTTATTGAGTGTCTCTCTCCTGAAGCAGATAGCAAGTTTTCCAAGGGGTAGAAGTTTTACATGTTATTTAGGCTACTAGTAAACGACCACGCTCTTCAGGAATAATTGTGCTATGATAAATGTTTCAGAAGACTGGTAGAGTTTGTGTTACTGTGGCCTCGGTAAAAACTAAAATAGTGCCTGGAGGAACTCCCTCACCCGTGGCTGAGTGAGTGTGTGAACCACATTGCAATGAGCCTGGTGCTGAAGTCCTCACCTGCCAAGTGAGTTTCATTCCCAAGGAGCCACAAGCCCTCTATGCTAGTCCTTTCTGTAGGCTTGGCTGGGAGCCAGTGCAGAGCCTTTCTGGGTCAGATGCCGAAAAGAAGTCTAGCAAAACGTTGACCTAAGCACTCCAAAATTTAAGTTGCAGTATAGTGGCTAATCATTTCACATGCCATTTTTATAAATGATGACAATCCTCCTATTTTAAGAATCATTTCCAGAAAATGCATGCAACTGGTATGCTTCCCAATTTTACTTTCCTGATATGACCAGCGCTCTCCTTTATGAGTCTGCCACAGGGCCTATCTATAAGTTACAGGTTTACATGAGGGAGGGCTATGCAGTTACGATGCTAAACTCTGGAGAGGATGGGCTCTACCACATATTGGCAGTGACTTAGGTGTAGTCACCAAACCACTCAAGGCCTCAGTTTTCTTTTTACCTACCTGTAAGAAGCCCAGGCTTGCCTCCAAGTGCTGGGGTTTCAAGCATGTGCCACTGTGTCCTATACCTAAATACAGCCAGTTATTAAGTAGTAGTTCACACTGATGATAAAGAATCAAAGTGCATAATATATAAAATTCAAAAACTAACATTCACGTGATTTCTGTACTGCTTTACTTTGTAGTCACAAATAGAAACTCCCTGTTTGCAAAGAAAGTCTCTTGATAATTTCTTGGTATTAAATATGTATACTTAATAATCTTGTGATCACTTCCTTCTTAATTGTACTACTTTAGAATAAATCTCAGTCATTTCAAGTGAGTAGCTAATAGCCTTTGTGTGATTTAAAAATATCACATTTCGAGAATTAAAAAACAAAGGTAAACACAAGGAAACTGGAATATCTGTGAACCCGTGACCCGACTTATGCATACCGGATCATTTTTGCGTGTGCGTATGACTGTTCGTGTACAGCTGTTGGTGCGAAACCGGGATCTTGGTGCGCATGTCTGCTTCCCTCCTCTTCTTCTTCCTTCTTCACGTTCCTATCTAGCCTTGGCTAGTCAGGAACTCACTAGATATAGACCAGGCTGGCTTCTAACTTGCAATGATTCTTTTCCTACACTCTGCCTAAAAGAAAGCACTAAAAAAAATTCCCCTCCCACACACTAGGACTTAAACCCAGGGCCTCTACTCCTGGACCAATTTCCCAGCCGTTTTCTTTTTCTTTTCATTCTTTTCCTCTCTGTCTCAGAGAGGGAGAGAAAGAGAATGTGTCTTGCCATGTAGATCAGGCTAGCCTCAGTCTTGCAAAGATCCTCTTACCTCTGCTCCCCTGGTACTGGAATTCAAGCACACACCAGCCATCATGCCCAGCTCATGGATTTATATTTTAACTTATTTTCTCAACATTGAAAATCAAGTCTTGGGCTGGTGAGATGGCTCAGTGGCTAAGAGCACTGACTGCTCTTCCGGAGGACCTGGGTTCAATTCCCAGCAACCACATGGCAGCTCGCAGCTGTCTGTAACCCCTGTTCCAGAGAATCTGACATCGTTATATCAATGTGCATGAAATAAGGTTAAATAAAGTTAAAAAAAAAAAGAAAATCAAGTCTTTCCGTGTCTATATTTGTCAATTTAATAACTTGATTATTATCACTATGGATCTATGAGAATTTGGTCAATTTATTAGACATTTGTATGTTATTTTTCACCCCTGTTAACAGGATCTCTGCAATGACTGGTTCTCTTTGAGTTTCTTTTTAAATTTTGTTTGAAATATTATTAATTTTTTAAAAACTTATACATGTGAGTGTTTTACCTACATGTATCTTTTGGAACCATGAACATGGTAGGTGCCCAAGGAGACCAGAAGAAGGCGTCAGATCCCC